CAGCTACCTCCTTTTAGGCAAACGCCTGCAGAATTCCAGGACTGCTGTTAGACCACAATCAGGCCAAGGCACTGAGTTTAAGAATGATTACTCACAGATGAATTAGCCTTTTGTTTCTTTTCTAACGTCTCTGAACCCCTTCTGCAGTTTCAGCGACCTGCTGCCTGGCCATGTCGTGATGCCGAAGCCAACAGCCTGAAGTCACGTTTACGTGGCCTACAGACCATACAGACCAGCCTGGGGAAAGAGGTCAGTCGAAACACCTCCTCAGATCACAGAAGGGCCTCACGGAGGACTCTGAGACAACATGCAGAAGAAATTTTGAAAAAACTGTACCCAACACCATTTCTATATATGCCGATTTTCCTCTCAAAGGAAACCGATCATCCTTGAAATGTATGGGAAGGGGTCAAGATAGAGAATATAAATTAAGCTTTACATGTAGATATTAAACATTTTGAAAACATGAACATTAATTTTAAAAAGGCTAAGAAAACAAATAAAACATATTTAAAACAAAAGCTCGATTTAAAAAGTATATATAAGAATGATGTGTAAGTCCATGCCAACAGCTCAGTTTCAAAGCACTGGTTGCTGGGCAGAATGACAGAGAAGAGAAAGCCTGGTCAGGCGTGCACCCTCTGCAGTGCCATGAGCTCCGGGAAGCGACTCTCCCGTCGCAAACCACAGCTGCCCTGAGACAGTTCCAGCCCCTTGAGAGTGGCTGCCTGGGGCCCAGACAAGAGGCACAATTCTGACAAATGAGATGAGCAACGTGGGCTAGAAGGCCTCTTGGTAAGGTTTTCCTCGATCTCAAAAGGAGATACAGACCACTCCACACACACTATTGGAATAGCCACTGTCAAAACTTTAAACAAAGCCAGAAAACACGAAGCGCTGGTGAGGATGTGGGGAAATCAGAACCCGTGTGCACTGCTGGTAGGAATGTAAAACAGGAGGGCCGCTACAGGAAACAGCGTGGCAGTTCCTCAAAAACGTAAAACTAAAATTGCCGTATGATCCAGTAGTTGCATTTTGGGGTACATACGCAAAAGAACTGAAAACAAGAACTTGAACAGGCATCTGTGCACATTCACAATACATCAATACATGAATGCAAAACCAAAACGTGGCATGTACATACAGAAGAATATCATTCAGCCTTAGAAAAGAAAATTCTGACACCTGCTATAATGTGGATGAACCTTAAGGACATTAGGCTCCATGAAATAAGCAAACCGGTCACAGAAGGATGGACACTGTGGGCTTCCTGTCACGTGAGGTCCTAGAGCAGCTGAAAGCATGGACAGGAAGTGGAAAGGTGGCTGCCAGGAGCGGGGAGAGGAGGAGCGCGTACTTAATGGGTACTGAGTTCCAATTCTGCACGATAAAGAGAGTTCTGGAAACAGATTAACTAACACCTGTGAACTGCGCCATTGAAATAGTTACAATGGTAAATCTTATGTACATTTACCACAATTAAAATAATTGTATAAAAAAGAGACAGAGGAGAGCACATTACTTCCTGAGTTTAGCCACGACTGATGGCCTGCGGTGCCCGACGGCCGCCTCGGAACTGCGCCAGGAGCACGCCAGAGGGCGAGCATTCCCTGAGGACGGCGGTCAGAACACCGGACACTCCCCCACTTAAACAGGGTAACTTCTCCAAGGAGAAGCCCTTCTAAGTTGAAAATATACTTTCTGTTCATTTCGGCCAATTCCTGAGTCCCATACTGAGACCAGTTAATGCTAAAACAGTACCAAGTCGCATTATAGTGGCCGATATTATAACAGTTAATGTGAGCTATGATGACAGCAGATCAAGACAATTTCCTTCCATTAGTGATATCTGCTAGCTCCCATCACACTGCTTTGTAACTACGCTGCTCCTTACATCTAAGACTATGGCCACAGATAAAACATATCTATGTAATGTGTGTGTAAACCAGTCTTTAACAGAGACACACACAACAGGAAAACCAAAAGAAAGCAGTAAAAACGCATCTTAGGGAACGTGATGCTCAAGGACAGAACCACGATAAGCCACAACCACAAGCACTCGAAGGGGAGCTGAGTGCAACACAACCAAGGGGACCACATGTGACTTCCACCTTGCGGGTGCTCGCCACCAGCCAGAGAAACGAAATGAAACTGTCATGATGTTCAGAAATGTCTTGTAGGCTCAAGTCACGGTATAAAATAAAATGCCTCACAAAAGTGAACTTTCATAAGCCAAAACGGCACATCTCACGGTTTTGAGAATTCTCTGTGAATTTCTGCACAGAGAAATTCAGTGACTTTGTAAAACTCTCTCAGTGGAGCCCTGGAAACTTCTCTGACCAGCTCAGCTCAGGACATGGGTCTGCACAGCGCAACAGAAAACGATTCCCATCTACAGGGAGATTCCGAATCAGTGACTTCTCTCTGACCCCATGTGTTTTACTCATCCATTGCTGGCTGACTAACCACCTCAAAACCTAGTGGATTAAAACAATAACTGAAAATTCCTCGTGATTCTGTGAGCTGGCTACAGCTCAGCTGGGGCTCTGCGGCTCCCGCTTGGGCTCCAGCATGCAGCTGCCTTCAGCCAGGAGCCTGGCTGGCACTGAAATGCCCACGATGGCTCCAGGCCTCCCAGGTGGGCTTTCTCTCCTACAGGGAAACTGTACCTTTTACACGATGGCTGGCTCCACAGACAGAGGAGGAGAAGGGGCCAGCCCTCTTACGTCACAGAGTTACTCCCACGGTACCCATTAGTCAGTGCGAGTCGCGAGCCCAGTCCAGCCCAGGGCGATGGAAACGATCCACCTCTGGATTGTGCGTGCAGGAAGAGCACGCACATGCGGAGTGAGAGGAAGTGAGGAGGACACCCACGGACACTGTCCATCGAGCCACAGTCCTCCCTACACATGATGACAGGCTTGTCATTTCAGCGTGCCTTCAGGAGAGCTCACTACTCAGCAGAACACAGTGGGTCAAACCTGCTCTTGTGTGTCTCAGACCTGCTTTAAATACCTTCATTTGCTCGAAGTATATTTTACTGTGCAGACCAGGACTTAACATGTCTAAACCTACTCAAGAAAACCCAAATGAAACACCTCTCGAGTTTCAGGTACAGGCACGTGTCTCCGGGCGCCACTTCCTATGTTACCTGTTCCTATGTACCTGTGTTACAATTCCCTCGGCCGTGCCCCTCGGCTGCAGCCCCCACTCGGGCAGAGCCCACGTCCACGAGCCTGAGCAGCACTCCCAGGGCCTCGCACGTGCTGGGCTGTTAAAAGACTGCTCCTTCTCAGTTACTGAAAATTACTGCTATTTAAAAACATATTCCTCCTTTAATACCAGACAGAAGAACTCTTGTAGATTTCTCCATGTGTATTTCACAATGGCAGAAAGCATGTCGTCATTATCAATGCTTGAACAGTAGGCTCTAAGAAAGATAAAATTTTAACTATTATTATAGTTACGTGCTAAATTTACCCTCATTCAAACTTGAAAATGAGAGGTCTTACAACAGTGTACAATCCATTTTCTGGGAATTACCTTTTATTGCTCTCTAGTTCTAGACCTCCAACTTGTAATGAGAAATGTTCATGCCTGCACCAACATCTATCTTACACTTGCGAACAGCACATTTTCTGATTAAAAATCCCATTTTGCTAAGCAGTTGTGCTATTCCTTCTTAACTGTGGGTTCTCATTTCCTCAAAATATAAGAAAATAACATTAACTGAAATAAAAATATATTGACTCCTCGGTTACCTAAAATGACTTATCTTCAATCATAATGTAATAAAACTAAATTTCTTAAACAATATAAAAATTAAAATCACTATGTTCTTAAAGACCCAAAAGTGTTCAAACAACCATGCCAGGAGAATACTGGCTTTACAAAATTAATTTAGTACTCACATATATCATCACTATTATCTCACAAATATCCACAAAGTCAGTAACTATACTACAAATTTTCAGAACTGTCTCTCCCAAGAAGACATACTATAAATACAATGACTGAGTCCCCTCCCTTTTCACTCTGGGCTATAGTCAAATTTTAAAGGTTTTAACAGTGTATCCAAATTCCCAACAGAGATTAATTGTGGGGACTTGCAAGTGAGAAATTAGGAATCCTGAAATTCTAAGTTATTCTCAAATAGTTCTAATATTCATATTCTTTACTCATTAATATGGGTATCTTAAAAATTAGTTAATAAGAAAAATCAAGTTTAGAAGCATTAAAAAAGAACTAGCCTATAGAGATTATTAAAACACTGGAAAATACCAGCAAAATTACTAGGTACTATTTCCAATAACCTAACATTTGAATTTCTTAGCCTGTTAGTAGCAATAGGAAATCACAAGTTGAAATGAACAATTCATAAGCTTATTTTGCTTCTGAAAGTTATTTCTTGGAACACCACTCATATACTCTGCACATACACCGATGGACACTGTATTCACACTGCCATTCACACTGTTAGGAGCAGACAGGGACACAAACCCATCATCGCACAGCCACAGCCACAGACAAGGCCGACGGATGAGACCGGGACCCCACACTCCTGTCGTCTTCCTAGAAACCTCGGCTTTCCCTGGTTTCAGACTTGAAGGTGGCGGATTCCTTCAAACCAGTAACATTCCTACGGTGATTACCCAGCTAAATCTTGTGGCAGAATTATGACACCTTCCCTCAATGTCCTGAATTCTGAACCGATTTTCCTTAGGATTCATTGGAAAAATCATGTAAATTATTTTACCCAGAATAGCTAGGATTTCTATATGTTCAGTTAATCACTGCAGATTAACCTATATTAACAACTATTAAGTGCCTGTGTGTCAGCACACAGCAAAGCAATAAATAAGCAGGATTCTTACTGAAAGTTTAAGACATTTAAAAATAATTCATGTTTACATTAGAAACATATCAGCAGGTTAAACGCTCATGATGGGAAACTACAAAAGTAGCCATTTTCGGAACCCGGCTCGACAGCAGACTCTTACCTTATACTTCATCTTGGGACACGAATGAATGTAGAAACCCATGTAGTAATAGCTGAGTTGAGGTGTTTGCTCATGAAGCTGCTTAGTGAAAGCAATTTCTCTGCCAAAAGAACAAAGGTGAAGATCCAGTTAAATCTAATTCCAATATTCAAAGTACTACGTGATTTGATGACAAATATTTGATAAAATTTGATAGTAAGCTATCAAAAAAATCCAAGTGTTGAAAGACGAACTATTTTAAAAACACTGTAAGATTATTTCCACTAAATAGACACCAGAGACTTGAGCCCCCAAAGGGAAAACCCGTTCTCAATTCGCCTTCCCCTGCTCTACCAGACACGCGCGCAGGCAAAGCAAGAGTAAATGCAGAGACAGCTATTTCCACGGACGGAGAGCCCGCCCTCTTCACTATTCGGACAGTGGGTGTGTGTTGTGGGTCACGCAGGTGCAGCCATGGACACACACGAGAAACGGCTGTCTGGTGACGGTCACGCGTCGCGCACAGGCAGGGACTGCCCGGTCCTGTCCTACCACTCCACACAGCTGTGTATTCCTTCCAACCAACACACACCGGTCCAATTCATTTGCACCAGACCCATTCAACCTCACTAAAAACACACAGCAGTGATGACAAGAGAAATTGTAAGTAACGCAACGTCTCGGGAGCGCTGAGCGGTCCCGACAGGGAGCTCACGTGAATGCACAAGGGAGCCAACAGCAGCCCCCACAAGGACAAGGACCCTCACACACTAGGCTGCATGGCCCTCAGAGTGCGGGGAGCTGCCCCGAGACACTGGCCTCAGTTCCGAAAGTGGTACTTCCAAACGCCACTGCGTAAGAGACCACCGCAGCCATAAACCACGACACGCGATCACAGTGGGGTTTCTACTGTTACACGATGAAATACAATCAAAATGGGGGCTTATTACACGACTCCTCACAACCGCCAAGAGCAATCTTACCGTAGTGCAGAGTAGACCCCCAAGGAGAGAAACGAATACTCGGGGTCGTAGTACAAATACACGGAGGACACGCAGTACGGAAGGATGTCGATCACCCCCACGGCAACGATCCTGCCGTCGAGCCAATACTGCTGGTGAAATGAGCCATAACCACAGTCTGGTCCGTTCGGGGGGGTTTCTGGCTGTGAAAGAGCAGACACACAAACGTGAACAGTTCGTCATAAAACGTATCTGACAAAGTAATGTGGTGCTGAAAAATACAAGAATCTTACATTCAACAATAAGCAAACAAACACCCCAATTGAAAACCAGGCAAAATACCTGACAGGCGCTTCACAAAAGAATATGTACAACTGGCAAATGAGCATATGAAAAGATGCTCAACATCACTTGCTGTTAGGGAACTGAAATTTAAAAAACGATGAGAAAGTACGACCCAACTGTTACCATGGCGGAAATCCGGAAACCTGACTGTCAAATGCTGAGGAGGGCGCGAGGCAGCGGAGCTCCACCCGCTGGTGGTGGGGACGGAAACCGGCAGCCCCACCTTGGAGGACAGTTCGGGAGTTTCTCACAAAGCCAACAGTTACCACGCAAAACAGCAATCGGGCTCCTAGTTATTTATCCAATTAGTCTGAAAACTTAGGTCACACAAAAACCCACAGGCCCGCCCCGCCCCCGCCCCCCTGGCGTGGCTCAGAGGACTGAGCCACAGTTCCCGCTCCGGCCTGGGTTGTGGGCCAGGTCCCCAGTGGCAAGAGGCAAATGATCGATGCTTCTCTCACATACAGCTGTTTCTCTCCCTCTCCTTCTCCTGTCCTACCCCCTTCTCTAGAAATAAATAAATGTAATCTTAAAAATAAAAACCCCAAAGGCCTACACACAAATGTATATCACAATTTTATTCATATTCTACAAAAACTAAGCGCAACCAAGATATTTTTCAACAGGTGATCACCTGTGACACACCCACACACTGGAATATTACTCATCAATAAAAAATAATAAACTATCAATACATACCATATGGTTCCAACTACATTCTGTAGAAGATAAGACTATAGAGGCAGTAACAAGATGAGTACTTGCCAAGAATCTGGGGGGATGAGAGGAGGGATGAGCGGACCCGGCTGTCAGGTCAGCACAGCACAGGGAAGTTTTCAGCTGAAACCGCCCTGTGTGCTACTGTGGAAGCAGACACACCACATAATGCGTCTGTCCAAACTCACAGGACTTCACTCCACCAAGAATGAACCTTAATGTATGCAATTTAAAAGAAAATCGTTTAGGAGGTTAGGGGATCCCAGGAGGACTGAGGCGAGAATCTGTGTGGTTACCTTTGAAAGAGGTCAGAGGGGGAAAGGGTGCTACCCCATGTAACTTCTGGGGTCTGCTAGAGTGAAGGCACCAGGAGGTCCGCACAGAAGCACCATCACCTACGGGACAAAGATTTTTCCCAAGAGCACTGCACGTTAACAATTCGGACACTGATGCACAGCTTCGTTGGAACTGAACAATTAAGCAAACGGTTGGAGAATGGTAGAAGCCGGGTCACTCACTCTTCAAGTGGGAATTTATAGATCAGAAAGGGGAAGAGGCTAGAATGGTCCAGTGGTAATAGTCAGAATTACAGACGGGAGTAAGAACTCACATTTAGCTCAATACAGACACAGATGATTACATACTGAAATACTTGCAGGTGTGTATCTCTCATAGACACGTTCATACAAAGGTTAGTATGCACACGACAATTTATTTGTTCTGTCAGATGATAAAGCCTAAAACACTGACACCCAATAGCAGCAAGCACACCTAATACCCCCATCTTGGTTTCTGGACTCTGTAATAAAAGGAACAAGAAAAAGGAACGATTTCTCTTTGGAGAAACGGCTGATTCCAGGACTGGGGCAGGAAACATACAAGATGAGCCTAGAGTATATTGTAGTGCCCAAGAGGAAGGAAATACTCAAAAAAGGAAAACGAACCCCATGGATGGAGGTGTGTCAAAGGGACAAGGGGGTCAAGGAAAGAGCTCCCAATTGTCTGAATCAAAATAATTTAGACAACAAAACAAAGTAGTACTGGATTATAACCCAAAGTATAAAACAAAAATCAATGACTCCACACTAATATATATGATTGCATAAATTAATAAATGAGAAAGAGAGACAGATCACCCAGGAACCCAAACAGTGTACGCGGACACTCATCACGCCCCAACGGTAGGGAGCGGGCTGCACACAGCGACTTCCTTCCAAAGAGGACGGTTTGGGAGGGGAAGCACCTGCACAGGCGGTCAGGTCAAAAACGACAAACCAATGAGGGTTTACTGAAGTGCCACCAATGTCAGTAATTTCTGTAACTTCCACTGCTGTAGATAAAGTGTTGTTTGGGCAATAAAAACATCTTTAAACTTTTAAGAGCTTCCACCAACATCAATAAATTATGTCAAATCCAGACTTCAGCATTCACTTCCCACACAGCTTTACCCTTTCAAAAAGTCTCGATTATTTCCCCAGAAACAGATAGCTTCAAGAGAATAGGTAAATAGAAGGATTAACCAGAAGGAAACAGGAAAGTATACTAACCTGCTACACTTACAAAACCTGACCTGACCCCAACAGCTAGTGGACTGGAGGCCTAGTACCCTGGTCAGCTCCAACCACGCAGTAAGAAACAAACAAGTCCCTACGTCTATCGGACTTTGTCAACCCCCCTCAGAGGTAAGCCCGAGGTTCACAGGATCGCAGCTTGCGGTCTTCAGAAATAATCGTGCAGGAGAGCAGCCCCGCTGTGACGTGGAGACAGAGAGAAGCTGTCAGTTCACGCAGCGTAAGGCGGAAGCTGTCAACTGTCGGAAACCTCCACGTCAAAAGCTAATTAAATGACTTGGAGATGAATCTAAATTCATCCAGGACTTCAGTTAGTGCCTCATTCTAGGTCATTAATCTATCTGTGTGTTCACTCACTCATTTAAAAAAAATGTATTTATCAAGGACATAAGAATGGACCCAATAAATATTCTCAATAAATAAGTGACCAATGTATTCTTTTAAGCCTAAAGAGAAATCAGTTCTACCTGTTGTACCAGCTTGAAATGTTTTTTAAAACTGCAACTACCGGCTCAGTTTCCAATACCCATTACCTGTTCCGTTCCCTGGACCTCCCATGTAATGACCTGCCCCCATTTACTTCACTGGTTTGAAGGAGCAACCTTTCCACCAGAGGCATCATTCCCATCTCTCCATTCACGTGACGGTCAGGGGTCTTCCCCGTGTGCAAAACACTTGACAGATACGGGCTGCCTTACAATTTCTTAGGAAAAAAGGAAGCCCTGACCCTACCGCCTCCGACGCCCATCACGTCACGGACGAGGAACCTGAAATCCAGGAGTCAACTAAGCAATGCGATCGTCAAACCATGGAGTTAATACACTGACTCAAAGGGATTTCACTTTTTCTTAAAGTATATTTCTGCATTTTTGAAACAGAAATCGTACTACTACTCATGCTCAAAGGTAGACGTAACAAAATGACCATGGAGAAATGAAAGCAGCCTGCAGAGTGTGAGCAAATTCGGGTCGGCTTTGGCTTCTGGCTTAAGGGGTCTGATGGGGCACACCACAAGATTGTGTCTGAAATTACAACAGTAGCTCGCTCACTTAAAATAGTCAAGTTATGTAATAGCAGTTGGCTTAAATTTCCTCATAAACGAGTCAATGATGTGATTAGCAATATTTAATACTTTCTCTCTCTCATGCTTTTAGTTTATACACTTTGGATCTGTGAAAGAATAAGCAAAGTTTTTTTCTCCGAAGTTACTCACTTTAGAATTTAGCTGACAACAGGAAAAATACAATACAGCTCACCACGAGCTACACAAAAGAAAGACCGCCTTACAAACCTTGGCAGGGACGGCAGGGCTTCTGTGATTAATGAGCTGGGCAGTACAATAGCAGAGGCACTGTGCGGAAACGCCATCAATATTAACAGCGCAATTCAGGTTCTAGTCAACCGCTCCCACGATGAGTGCGTATTTGCTCTGAAGAAGTGCACCTGTCTCCTGACCCGCGGGCCTCCACATACCTCAGTGATGCTTCAAACAGACACTGCCGAGCCACAAAGAAACAGGCAGAGGACAGCCCTGGAGGCGTAATCAGGGGTTCAAAGACTGGACTGAGGAAATCTTCAGGGTCTCTGAGAAAGCAGCGCTTGTGTTCCTCCTTCTAAGGCCTCCAAAAGTACCTCCCCCAAAAGACCACTGCTCACACACAAATCTACGATTAGACGGTAAGTGTCCTAAATGGTGTGTTTACTTATCTTTAGAGAGAGGGGAGGGGAGGGAGAGAAACACCGATGTGCAAGAGATACGTGGATCGCTTGCCTGTCACTTGCCCCCAACTGGGGACCTGGCCGGCAACCCAGGCACGTGCCCTGACTGGGAATTGAACGGGTGACCTCTCAGTTCACAGGCCAGCACTCAGTCCACTGAGCCGCAGCAGCCAGGGCCTGAAATTTTTGTAAACAACAGTTCATGGAGGCCTCTAAAGGTCATCCATTTAAGCACCTGATTAAAAGTCTGCACTGGTTTACAACAACTTATTTCTTGTTTTGCCTTTTGTTAATAGTTTCAGGAAACACTGTACTAAATGTTGGATTCATTTTTAAAAAAACCTCAAAGGTGTGTTAAACTACTATGGCATCGAAATCTACATTATCTCTTTAAAAAAAAACCAACTAAATTTTGAAATAAAAAATTTAAAAACATGTCTAAACTAAAAAAAAAAAACAACCCTAAATTTGAAAGTGTCTCTAATAAGAAATAAAATGTAATTTGCAAACTGCAAATAGCAGCACTCATGGTTAGCATACCACATAGTTTTGTACATGTGATTTAAAAATCAAATGCATGGAGATTGAATAGGATGTTATTAAACAATGAGTGGGTCAAGAATGAAATTAGGGAAGAAATCAAAAAGTTTCTGGAAACTAATGAAAATGAATTCATGACAACCCAAAACTTACGGGTTGAGTAAGCAAAGGCAGCCCTGAGAGGGAAGTTCAGAGCAGTACAGGCCGACCTAAAGAAGACAGAAACATTTCAAACAAACAACCTAACCCTATACCTATAAGAACTTGAGGAACAACAACAAAAGACAGCCCAGAGCAAGCAGAAGGAAGGA